CGATAACTTTTTTCAATCGTAAGCTATGTAGGAGTAATTCAACATTTTCTGATTATTTCCTGCGATCTGAGTTTGTCGCCGACTCCATTTCGTGACGTCTCTGGATTTTGTTTATATTTTGGATACAGTGTTTTTTTTCTTTTTATAACTACTACCCTAAAACGGTACCATTCCCAATATAAAATAGACATTAAAATTCCCAATTTCCAATGTTAAACATGTTAAATTCCCAAAATGACTGTTCAAAATGCCCACAAGGCAAAGTGATTTTTCTAAAATCATTTAAATCCAACATATTCATATAAATCACCACTCAATAGTTCTATCTAGACAGAAGAAGCTGTTAGCTATCTTTATTCATGATGTCTAATCTCATTTGTAGCTGAAAAAATGCATTAAAAAAATTCCCGATTTTAGTCAAAATAACGCATTTTTTCCCAATCAGTCTGGTACCGGCACCATTCCCAAAGTAGAGAAAAAAAACGCTGGGATATTATCATTAATATTGATAGAATTTAAGTTCCTATGCCTGAATCTTGTAGCAAAACAGCATTCCTGGTGGTACGCTCTACCTTGGGGTACAGTTTGATCTTCTGAGACCCATACCTCCAGAGAGACATTTAAAAGCTTGAGAAGGTCCAGAAACAGTCCGCTAGGATTATCACAGGCAACTACACCACCAGGTCCCCAGGGTGGGTCACACAAATGCTTAGAGACCTGAAAGTACTTTCACTCCAGGACCAAAGTAAAGCCAACAGACTGACAATGATTTATAAGGTGGTCGGAGGCCTTGACTACTGGACGCCTGTCCAAGTACAATTATCGAGGAGCAGACTTCCCGAAAGTTAAAAAAACATTCTGTCTGACAAACCATGAAAATCTGTCGGACCGAAATGAAATCTGTCAGACGGAATGAAATTAATCAAAATCAAAGGAAACCTTGTGTTTGTATTTCTAATACACTTGTCGGTTTTAATTTTTTCGCCGTGAAAATCGGCACAGTCCGTACAGCTCATTTTCACATACTCCTTGTCGTACACCAAAGATTCACGGTCCTGCTTCCATTTTTCATTAAATTTTCTCTTAGGTCTATTCTTTTCATCCTTTTACTGCTGTTCTGCGCACTCCTCTAACATAGATTTTCGTTTTTTGCCAGGTTTGGCACCTTTAGCGATGCCATTTGGTATACATGTGACTTGGATAAAAGCCGGACAGTCATAAAAAATCCTCGTACCTAATCAAAATTTATCGGACATGTCCGTCGGACTGACGTATTTTGGGAAGTCTGGCAGTGTGAAAGCATTTTTTTTTTGAGAATTGTGCAAGAAAACATTCTTGAAAACCAGATAATAAATCACTTTAAATGCTTTCAGTTTAAACTGAGCAATGTTAAACTTCATGTTATAACCAATCATTTTTCCCCACAAAAATTTTTGATTGGAATAAATTTCATGATAGTGTTGCGCAAGTTAGATAAAAAGTTGTATTCCATTTGGACCAAGTCCTCTCTCCCTTTGCTTATATGCTGAAAGGCCCTGCAAAGTACCATCCAGATCCAGATTGTTAAACTGATATTATATTAAGGCAGTGGCCTGCAATAGTATATGAATATAAGCCTACATGCATATTGCAAGCTATGATATCACAGTACTTAATGTTTATCAGAAAATATGTGAATTCATGAGATTCTTCTTCTGTTAAATTAATGATGTTCTTTAAAACTATCTAAAACAATGTTTCAAAAGATCCAATTAAAACCAATTAAAATGTTGTTTATTTTTTTTTTTACTATTCACATTTTCCACCATGTTAGCTCAGGGCTTCCGTTAATGGAGATTTGGGAGTCATTTACTCCTTGATTTTGAATAACAGTATTCTTACCAGGAATTAATTCATTATTCACAGAATTAAATGGTATACTCTTAAAATTTCTCTTGTCTTTGGTATCAGAATATCATTTCAATTTTCGAGACTTAAAATTGAATGTGATCTTCTAATAAATATTCTAATCCCTATATATTATTCAGACCATTGTTTTACTATTAAGCTGCACTGAGAAGAGTCAATGGGAGCTACTGTCCTACCAGCAGCTGCTATTTTTATTTGCAATTGCTTATTGATCAATGTTTATTTACAGGTGTTGCCGGTGCACTTTTTCACCATTGGTGGCGGTGTTGTTTGTGCTCTATATCTGTTGACGATGGCGTCTTACAAGGACACAAGGTGTGTATAAATATGTATTTATTTTTAGCAATATTGAACAACCCATGACTTTTTTATTGTGAAATTTTACTTTCAATCCTTGGTAAGGGTTGGTAGTAAATTTAAAGAGATTTGAAAATGAGCCTCGCCATGACAAAACCAACATGGTGGGTTTGCGACCAGCATGGATCCAGACCAGCCTGCATATCCACACAGTCTGATCAGGATCCATGCTGTTTGCTATCAGTTTCTCTACTTGTTATAGGATGTGTAAGTGAACAGCATGGATCCTGATCAGACTGCGTGGATGTGCAGGCTGGTCTGGATTCATGCTGGTTCCAAACGCACTAAGTTGGTTTTGTCATGGTGCAGCTCATTTAATGTTCTTTCTACTATTTGTTGTAGGTAGGAAATGGCTTTTTAGCTCAACTATTCCAAGAAAAGGGAGAGATGTTGTACTCAACCCTGAGTTGGCAGCACACATTGGTTATTTAAGTTTTTGCATACAAGATGGTATCCCATAAGTCTGATATACCTTTTTACAGAGTTTTGTCCCTTTTCTTATTGTCGAGTACCAAGAAAAGTCGAGTGTGAGTGGTTACAGAGAGGGCTTATCAATATGGTATGGTTATAAGTCTAAAAATGCAAATAACCATTACAATCATAAAAATGTCTTTTGTGAGAAAACCAAGAAATTTTATGACCACAAAATGAAGTGAATTCACTGTGTTATGTTTACTTTTCAGTTTATCCCAGTATTCCCAAGCAGATATTTCGCCCAGTGAAAAAGCTCCAGTGAGTATGTTTTATATATACAGCAGCGAAAAAGTTTGTTTTAAATTGGATTGGTCTACAGTGGACACATTTTATATCAGTATTTATACCCCCAAAAACGAAGTTTGGGGGGTATATAGGAGTCACCCGGTGGTCGGTTGGTCCAGACGTCCATTGCATTTTCCTTGTCTGGAGCATAACTTGAAGACTAATGGTTGGAATTCAATATAACTACATACAATGGTCAAGCACATTGAGAGGAAGTGCAGTGCACAAGAACCATAACTCTATCTTGACTAATTACAGAGTAATTGCCCTTTGTTACTTTTCCTTGTCCGGGGCATAACTTGAAAACTACTGGTTGGAATTCAAAACAACTTCATACAATTGTCAAACACAATAAGGGGAAGTGCAGTGCAAAAGAACCATAACTCTATCTAAAGTAATTACAGAGTTATTGCCCTTTGTTGCTTTTCCATTGCTTTTTTTTGTCCGGACCATAACTTGAAGACTAATAGTTTGAATTCAATATAACTACATACAATGGTCAAGCACATTGAGAGGAAGTGCAGTGCACAAGAACCATTACTCTATCTTGACTAATTACAGAGTTATTGCCCTTTGTTACTTTTCCTTGTCCGGGGCATAACTTGAAAACTACTGGTTGGAATTCAAAACAACTTCATACAATTGTCAAACACAATAAGGGGAAGTGCATTGCACAAGAAACATAACTCTATCTAAAGTAATTACAGAGTTATTGCCCTTTGTTGCTTTTCCATTGCTTTTTTTTGTCCGGACCATAACTTGAAGACTAATAGTTTGAATTCAATATAACTACATACAATGGTCAAGCACATTGAGAGGAAGTGCAGTGCACAAGAACCATAACTCTATCTTGACTAATTACAGAGTTATTGCCCTTTGTTTCTTTTTCTTGTCCAGGGCATACCTTGAAAACTACTGGTTGGAATTCAAAACAACTTCATACAATTGTCAAACACAATTATTAGGGGAAGTGCAGTGCACAAGAACCATAACTCTATCTTGACTAATTACAGAGTTATTGCCCTTTGTTGCTTTTCCATTGCTTTTTTTTGTCCGGACCATAACTTGAAGACTAATAGTTTGAATTCAATATAACTACATACAATGGTCAAGCACATTGAGAGGAAGTGCAGTGCACAAGAACCATAACTCTATCTTGACTAATTACAGAGTTATTGCCCTTTGTTACTTTTCCTTGTCCTGGGGCATAACTTGAAAACAACTGGTTGGAATTCAAAACAACTTCATACAATTGTCAAACACAATAAGGGGAAGTGCAATGCACAAGAACCATAACTCTATCTAAAGTAATTACAGAGTTATTGCCCTTTGTTACTTTTCCATTGATTTTTTTGTCCGGACCATAACTTGAAGACTAATAGTTTGAATTCAATATAACTACATACAAAATTTTAAAAATGTATTTAAAAGTATGATATTGTTAAGTAAACAAAAGGAAGCAATTTACACGTTATCAGTGACACTTGCAACCCTCATAAATTACCAGAATGGTCAAATTATGCAAAAGTAGCCCTTACTGTGTTAGTAACACAGTTGAAATAAAGTTATAAATACTGAAACACAAAACTTGTATATTATTACTAGAATCTTGAATCTTTTACTTTTCCTTATAAATATATACATGTATGTAAATTGTTAAGTTTGATTTTATTGAAATATTTTTTTATCACCCAGAGGCATGTAGCTTTAAATATTATTATAGATAATTAAACTATTTCTTGTAAAAAAAAAAATGTTGATGCAGTACTAAATAATTTAGTATAAACATTCATATGATGAAAAGAAATGTTTTGTTTGGAAATAATTTAATGTTTGCTACATTGTTTATACTGGTATGTTACATTAGAGCTGTCATCGATAGAGACAATATATTTTTCTGCCGATCAATAATCGATACACATTTAAATAATCGATAATTTTGATTAATTATTTTAATGTCTATGAATGATGAAAATTCACCCAAAACAAATAAAAAAGCAGGTGGCCATGTCTAACACTAAGCTATTGTTACATAATTGACACATTTCATAGCAGTGATGACAAAAAGTGGTTAAGAAAAAAATCTTGCAAAGAACATTTATTAAACAGGATATAACATATTTGTATGAACAGAACATATATTTTACTCAAATTATTTATCAGGTATGAAGGCGAATTATATACAAGAAATTAGGTGTATATATCGATATATTGCTGATATTTGTCATCAGATATTGATATATCGTCAATATGCTTTGTAATGAATAAATGACGGCTCTATGTTACATGTATATTATTAGTTATAAAGATCGTTGACAGGTTATATGGTCCTATGTAAACGGCTATTTGTAAATATAACCCGAGCCGTCAGGCGAGGGTTATATTACAAACAGCCGTTTATATACGGCCATATAACCTGTCAACAATCTTTATAACGAATTTATAATACAGCAAGCATCATTTTTATAGAAAAAACGTAAGATTTCTTCATGAATCGACAGCAGCCGTGTATATAAAACTATATAAACGTCACGATTATCCAATGAAAAGTGACGTTACAAACGTGCGGTATTATAATAATAGACCATGTATCTATCACCTACCAATTACATCCAAATATAATTCTATCGTAATGTGTTGTCATCAATAATATTAAATACTATCTGCAAAAATTTAAGGTCAAATATGAAATTCATATAATGATTTGTTCAAGACCGTTATATTTTCTAGCAGTGTTCTTTACTGCAATATTCTTTCTTCAATGTATTTGAACTAAGAAAGTAAGAAAAAGCTGAGCTGGCAGTGCCTTATGTTATGATGATGTTCGGATTGTTGAATATTATGCTACATGTTTCCTTTGACAATCAGAGTAGTCAAAATTTTATATGGTTTTGGAAGCTTTTATATGATGAATTGGTGTATTTTGTATAACATTTTCGTTTATTTTCTTTCTTTAAAATTTATTTCAGATATACATTTCCCCAACACGAACTGACTTACAAAAACAGAAAATGCCTGAAGCTAAACCAAAACTGTTGGAGGAATAGATAGTGAAGAGCATTGGTCCATTATGAGTGCTTTTGGTTGTTTATTTTATTTTTCTCAACTCAAAATTAAACCGGTACATAAAGACTTTTCAAGACTGATATTCTATGATAAATATTACCTCATGTTATATTTTGGCATTGACATGAATTTATCTTTTGAGTTTTATTTTATATTTCAAAAAGCTTAAAATTAGGATTTGAATGTGTGAAAGTTAAAAGAACAACATTTATAAGATTTTTGAAAGGTTTTGTTGAAAACAGACTTGATGAATAAATATTTGTAAAAATCTTGTCTTTTGTTATTTTTATGTCCCAGGCATAAAATTTTTGAACCGTCCGTCCGTCCATCCGTCTGTCCGAGCAATCATTTTGGGTTTAGGGGCTATATAACAGTAAAAAGAACAAAAGAGAACAATAGGTTCATTCCGTGATCAAAGGGTTTAGGGGCTAGTAGCCCTTAAGATAACAAAGAAAATAGCCCCTAAACCCAAAATGTTGGAACGTCCGTCTATCCGTACGAGGTTAACCTAGAACAGAAAGTTGGATTTTTTTAAGTTCTACCTGTACCAATGGCTTCTTAGTTTACACACTAATCAGTACAAAGTACATGATCTGGTCAAGTTACATAACTATTGCTTCCATATTTACCAAGTTATTGCCCTTTTGAGCACTTAGAAAAATGGTTAACCTAAAACGGCAAGTTGGAAATATCTTGAGTTCTATGTATACTAATGGCTTCATAATTTCCACACTTACTTATCAATACAAAGTACATGCTATTGCCAAGTTATATAACTGTGTCATCCATATTTCCCAGTTATTTCCCTTTTTTCACTTTGAAAATAGGGCCTTGTCTGGTTAACCTATTCCGGCAAGTTGAATTTATCGTAAATTTCTCTTAATTGCTTAATTTATTTAATGATATCTTGCATATTTGGTAGGTGGATACCTTTTATGGTCCTCTAATTTTTTGTGGAGTAAGTGGTCTCTAGGGTCAAAGTCAAGGTCACTGGTTAAGAAAATAAATTTAAACATTTTTGCTCATACAGCCTTTATTTTTTAGCTCACCTGTCACAAAGTGACAGGGTGAGCTTTTGTGATCGCTTTTCGTCTGGCGTCCGTCATCTGTCCGTCTGCCGTAAACTTTTGCTTTAAATGACATTTCCTCATAAACCACTAAGCCAATTTCATCCAAACTTCACAGGAATGTTCCTTTGGTGGTCACCTTTAAAAATTGTTCAAAGAATTTAATTCCATGCTGAACTCTGGTTGCCATGGCAACCAAAAGAAAAAACTTAAAATATCTTCTTTTAAAAAACCCAAAGAGCTAGAGCTTAGATATTTGGCATGAAACATCTTCTAGTGAGTGTCTACCAAGTTTGTTCAAATAAAAGCCCTGGGGTCAAAATTGGCCCCGCCCCAGGGGGTCATTGATTTTCCCTATATGCATATAGTAAAAACTTAAAAAATCTTCTTTTAAAGAAATCAAAGAGCTTGAGCTAAGATATTGAGCATGAAACATGTTCTAATGGGTGACTACCAAGTTTGTTCAAATAAAAGCCCTGGGGTCAAAATTGCACCGCCCCAAGGGGTTGATGATTTTCAGTGGCGTAGCTACTATTAGGCCATGTAGGCACGGGCCTTTAAGTTGGTCAAGAAATTAACATTTTTAAAAATCCCAAAAAATACAATAAAGCAGGCGAGAGTGGAGTTGGTAGTGGGTTCAAGCTGGAAAGTCAAATCAAGTGTGTGCGCATGATTTACCATCCTCAATAAAGTATGCATCTAATCAAATTCATAGTTTAAAATTATTGTTTTGATAATTTTCCTTAAACATACTTTGGAACGTGCTTTTTGCTCTACTTAATTTGAACTTATTTTGGCACCCGGGGGGCTAAGCCCCCAGACCCCCTTTTATGTGCCTAAAAGTTGAAAAAAGCTGGCTACGCTCCTGATTTTCCCTATATGAATATAGTAAAAACTTAAAAATCTTCTTTTAAAGAACCCAAAGAGCTAGAGCTAAGATATTTAGCATGAAACAAGTTCTAATGGATGTCCAAGTTTGTTCAAATAAGAGCCCTTGGGTCAAAATTGGCCCCGCCCCAGGGGAACATTGGTTTTCCTTATATGTGTATAGCAAAAACTTAAAAATCTTCTTCGAAAAAAACCGAATAGCTAGAGTTTAGATATTAAGCATGAAACATCTTCTAGTAAGTGTCTACAAAGATTGTTCAAATAAAAGCCCTGGGATCAAAACTGGCCCTGCCCCAGGTGTGTCAATGTTTTTAACTATATGTGTACAGTAAAAACTTAAAAAATCTCATTTTAAAAAAACCCAAAGAGCTAGAGCTTAGATGTTTAGCATGAAACATCTTTTTATGGGCGTTAACAAAGTTTGTTCAAATAAAAGCCCTTGGGTTAAAATTGGCCCTGGGGGGGGGGGGGGGAGGAAAGGGGGCGAGATCATTGTTTTTCATAATATGTGTGTAGTAAAAACTTAACATCATGAAACATCTTCTAATGGGTGTCTTCCAAGTTTGTTAAAAAAAAAAAGCCGTGGGGTTTAAACTGGCCCCTCCGTCCGGGGGGCCTATATACAGGTGAGCGACCTCAGGGCCATCATGGCCCTCTTGTTGGTTGATGTCTTTCATGTTTAATACAAACATGCCAAGGGAGGTCCTCCTTCTTTGGGTATAGTAAGGGGTCATTTAGGTCAAGGTCAATGTCACCAATGTCAAGGTCACCAATGTTAAAAATAGATTTTTACAGGTGTATTAACAGGTGTATTCTATAGACAGATGTCATATATAATTGATAGGAACATAAAATTTGATGGAGTTAGTGGTCAGTTGGGTCAAGGTCACCAGTGCTAAAACACTTTACACTTTTGCTCATACAGCTTTTATTTATTGACATATATAGTTCATTTTTGGTAGGAAGATAACTTGCATGGTATTCATCCTTTTGATTGGGGTAGGGATCAGTGGGTCAAGGTCACTTTTGCTAAAAATAGATTGTTACACTTTTGCCCATACAGGCTTTATTTATTGACAGGTGTATTTCATATTTGATAGGAAGATAACTTGCATGGTATTCTTCCTTTTGATTAAGTTAGGGATCAGTGTGTCCAGGTCACTAGTGCTAAAAATAGATTTTTACACTTTTGCCCATACAACCTTTATTTATTGACAGATATATTTCATATTTGGTAGGAAAGATAACTTACATGTTATTCTTACTTTGGATGAAGTTAGGGGTCAGTTGGGTCAAGGTCACAAGTGCTAAAAAAGATCTTTACACTTTTGCCCATACAGCTTTTATTTATTGACAGATTTATTTCATATTTGGTTGGAAGATAACTTGCATGGTATTCTTCCTTTGGGTGGAGTTAGGGGTTAGTTTGGTCAAGGTCATCAATGCTCAAATAGATTTCAACATTTTTGCCCATACAGCCTTTATTTATTGACAGGAGTATTTCATATTTGGTAGGAGGATAACTTGCATGATATTCTATAGGTGTCAGTGGGTCAAGGTCAAGGGTGCCAAGTATAGATTTCTTACATATATATATATTTGATATAAAGTTGAATATTTATCACTTCACAAGTCATAGCAATGACTTGGCAACTTACATATTTCACAATTACACAATGCCATGACTCTGTCAAGCTATATAACTTGTGTTTACAATTTTTTGGCAATGTTTCTGCCCATAACTGAGTGAATGGGTAAACATTTTTTGAAATATTTCTACTGACAAGAATCGGAGCCGGGGGCATTTGTGTTTAACAAACAAGTTCTTGTTACTATAGGATTTACATAATTTTTCCTGCCATTCATGATTGATTAATCTCATGTGCTTCATAGATTTAAAGGGAGACCAAGTATTTTTGACATGATGGGGACTAGAAAAATTATTTTTGAACATTAAGTCTTTACCAACAACTTGTATGCAAAATTTTAAGATCATTCATTCACTCAATTTTCACAGAATAATTATTTTTATTAGCAAAACGACCTAAACATGAAAAGCATGTGAATGCTTTCAACTCATGAGGGGCTTGAAAATTGCAGTCTTGAGTTATTTATAATTTATGAGTTTATTTCTTTATAATATTTTTCAATTTTATTACAAGTAATTGAGTTTATTTCTTTAAAATTTTTTTAACACCTGTTTGGAAAGGGTTGTATTATTGTTGCCCACAGGCTTGTGGGCGGGTGGCGTCCACTTTTTGTCTGGAGCATATCTCTCCTACAGCATGTAGGAATTTTAATGAAACTTCATAGAAATATTCAACACTATGAGAAGCTGTGTCACGCACATGAATCAGGTCAAAGGTCAAGGTCACATTTAGAGGTCATTGAAAAATGCTTGTCTGGAGCAAAACTTGTATTTTCAATATAACTTTGCAGAAATGTTCACCATTGTGAGTCAGACTATCACATGCAAAATTTAGGTCCATGCGGCTAAGGTCATGGTCACATATAGGGGTCTAAGTTCATATTAAAATATGAAAATGTGTATTTATTGAGGAATTGAAACACAAATGGTTATTTAATTATCATGACTACAGTGTGAACAAAAGATGATAGTCAAGGTTACTAAAGATGATAAAATATAGAGATTTGTCCACGCATATGGAGGGATTCTAATGAAACTATACAAATGTTCACCACTATGAGAAGCAGTGTCATAGGCAGCATGAATTAGGTCATAGGTCAAGGTCACACTTGGAGGTCAATTAAAAACACTTGTTTGGAGCAAAACTTCTACATGCATAGGATGATTTCAATAAAAATGAGGCAGAGTGTCACGCAAAATTTAGGTCCCTGCGGTCAAGGTCAAAGTTCAGATGAAAATGTGTATTTGAACCATTTAGTAATTATTTATTGAGGGATTGAAACACAAATGGTCATTATCATAACTACTGGTGAGAAATATGTAATTTAGGTTAATATATGCAAGGTCACTTAAGATGATAAATATAGAAATTTTGTTTAGAGCATATCTCCTCCATGCTTGGTGAGATTCTAATGAAACTTCATAGAAATATTCACCACTATGAGAAGCAGTGTCACCTGCATGAACCAGGTCTCTAGGTTAAAGGTTAAGGTCACACTTAGAGGTAATTGAAAATTGCTTATTCCGAGACGAAATTCTACATTCATCGGGGATTTTAATGTAACTGGCACAAATGTTCACCATTGTGAGGCTTATTGTGCACATAATCCAAGTCCCTGCTAACAAAGTCAAGGTCACTAAGAGAGGTCAAAGTTTGTGTACAGG